TATATATATATATATATATTACGTTATATATATATGCACAGTATATCAGATTTTAACTATACCAGTATTTTCTATATAAGAATAAGAAAACATATTACATAACTTTTAACATAAGTTTAAATACAAGCCTTATTTACGAATTATAACAAAAATATGGAATGTTTAAAATTTTACAATTTTCACGAACCTATGTTTATATGGATGTAACATATTTATCTTTTTTTTTTCTTCCTACATAAGTAGAACGTACTGACATAGTTTGGTCCGAAACATCTTGTATGAAAACAAATTCTATTCTATGATAACATATTATGAGAGTCTATGATAGAAAGCAGTGCTGGTTTTACAAATTTTTCTAATTCTTCATAATGTATTATAAAGAACAAAATATTTTATCTTTATCTGTTTTTCTATGCATAGAATTTTCAGATGCATGACTAAAAATATAAATTTTATTCAACAGCATAAAAATCAATGTATTTAAAACGAATTAATGTATCAAGAAAAATGTATAATACATGACATTTAAAATAGATATATTTATATAATATTAATAATATATTTCAATACACTTATACAGGACTTAAAAGTTGGGATTAAGTGTATTCAGTACTGTATTAGCACCGAAGTTAACCTATGCAATGCATAGAGGTGGCAGGTTTGGAGGGGCAGAATTTCTTAAAAAAATGAAAAAAAAATGGCCAGTTTTTGCCAAACGCGAATGATTAAGATAATTATTCATCGATTCGAGTCGGGGTTTCGCGATCTTCATTTGTTTCATGTTGATTTTGTTTTATCAGAGAGAAACCTGAGAGGGACATTAGCCGACACGGATGTTGATGTGTAATAATTTTTACTGTTACAATATGTAAATGCACAGTTTGTATGTGGTTTGGTATTGTAACAGTAAAAATTATTACACACCAACATCCATATCGGCTCGCAAAGGCATTATTGGCTATTTATGATTAAAATAAAATAGTTTTATTTACACGCGGTCTACATACTTTGATATTTATAATTATAAAATAAAATGTGATTAATGTAGGTTAAGTCACATTTGAGGCCATTGCACCATTTCAGTACAATTTTTCTTTTTTTTTTTCGTTGTTTATTTTGCAACTCAGGCTTAAGTAAGGGCGGCAATAAATTTATTGCATAGGGCAGTATGAGTCCTAATCCGACCCTGTGTATTAATGGGGTCAAATATGTGAAAAATGTTTTGTTAAAAAATTTTTGTTCAAAAATTCACGAGCAGAATTGTTTTTACTATTTAATAATTGATTTATAAGAAACTGATAGAAATCAGATACACTATTAAAGGATCTTTAAAAGTGTATTCAAAATATATTTATTACAATTTTTTTAATACAGTAGTATTATAGTATATTCAAAGAAACTGGACAGTCATTTTGATGTGATAGCCTGCATTCTTGTAAAAGGAAGAAATTTCGAACTGTTGTAACTACTAATAAAATCCGTTTACGGATAAAGATGTGTAAATGATAACTGATAACGAGAGTCATTTGTTTCTGAATCAGCAATTTCGTCTAAAGAACAATTCTGCTCGTGAATCTTTGAACCTTTATGATTTTAATAAAGCATTTTCGAACACGAGTTTATATAAACTTTTTTCCCCTACCTCGAATCTGGTGACAAACTGTATAAATTTAGTCCCAACCTTTACGAAAACTCTGTATATGTTCAAATATAGCAATTTATATAATATAAAGACTGACAAGCCATTTAACTTGAGACACCTGAATATTTTAAAAAGAAAGTTTTTAAAGAAAAATGTTTCGACAAAAGTTGTACAGTTTCAAAGGGCTAATAATAATGGCATAGTCAATTTGTCCTCAGAAGACAACGTCAGGTACAAAGGTAACTTGGTCTTGTTGTTACTTCCCAAACTGATTATGCCATTATATTAAGGCACACATGATGTTTTTCTTCTGAATTACTTGCATTTTAGTAAATTACTAGAATTGCATCACATAGAACGCAGAATTTACAGTAATGTACTAAAAAGCAATCTAGCAAGAAAACACGTATTACATGTCGCTAAAGTTAGTCTCTCAAAATTGAACAACTTTCGTCTGAAACATTTTTCTCAAAAATGCTTTTTCTCAAGATATTTGAGTGCCTCACGCTAAATGACTCATCCTATATGTGACAATATGTTTCATATATGTACGGAATGTCGTATTTTAACTTTGCCAAATAAAAAATGTACTTGAAATCTAATCAGCCCAAATCTATCTTTTGAATTGAAATGTAAAAGACGAATAACAAAGAATGGAAGTTTCTATTTTAAAAAGTCGATCTGAGTCTGCAATTTAAACTACACGAGTCACGGACCGGAAAATCTGATCAATACATCAGATTGTCCTCTCCCCTCCCCCCTCTCGCCCTAAGTTTTTCCACAAGTTATTTTTTCTTAAAAAATCATCTTTTTTTTATTTCAATGACAAAGTTAAAATGAGACATCCTGTATATGAAGTCAAGGTATAAATATCAGACAAAATTTCAACATGTATATCACGCATTTTCTTCATTCACGCGTAATTTATGTTATTCAAATTAATTTCTTGCCAACCTGGCAAAAAATAATGCATTATAAATTTATATATAAAGAATAATTTGCATGCAAATAATGGATATTCATATGAGCAAATCTAAGTGCATGCTAAGATATCTAAGAGGTTGTAGAAACTAGTCAGAGCTAATCTCTCTTTTTCACATAATATAAAATAGTGTACTCTAATTTGTTACTGAAAATCTCAACTTTTTAAGTGTTAATCATAATAACACTTAAAAAATGTCAATAATGGTAATCTTATTTCGTAACATAGAACAGAAAAAGTTTCAATAAATGTGTTGCTATATATCTATAGGATATCACATGGGAATTAGTTACTGAAACTAATCAGCTGTTATTTTTAAATTTACATAGAGAATGGAAAAAATATCTTTCAATAGAGGATATTTAGCAGTTTTATTTACATATAAACTAAAGACAATCGAAAGTATTTTGACATTTAATAAAGGTTTATAAAAATGCCAAGTATTGTCAATCTTAAAGATATATATTTTTGAAATGCTAAATTTTGAATTACATATATTTTGGAAATAAAAAACAAGGACTTATCAATTCCTTGTCAAAAGAGATGTTACATAGTTTTTTAATTTCCAAAATATATATTATTCAGAATTTATTTAAAAAATATATATCTATACATCTTCAAGATTAGCAATACTTGACACATTTTTATAAATGATAAAAATATTTCCGATCGTTTTTGCCTTATATACAAATAAAACTGCTAAATATTCTCTATTGAAAGATATTTTACTTTTCCTGTGCATTTAAAAATGATAGTCCATTAGTTTCAGCAACTTTCGATGGGACATCCTGTATGTAAAGGTATTTCCACAGGCATTCTCTGTGTCGCTCAAAGTGATTCAAAGAACTGAATGATTGAAGGTGAAGTCAAAAAATTCGCAAATTACCTCAATCTATTTTTGTAGACACAATGCCTTCCCCTTCCTGTTTCCTTATAATCAGTCTCCGTGTCACTGCTGCTGTCTTGCACATAATTGATCAAAGTGATGCGCTCTGACGGATTTGACATGTCAAACCACCTGACAAAAGTAGAAAACATGTTATACATGATGGAGAATAAAAGATGAAGCTCCCTCCCCCCGCCCTTGCCACGCGATCTTGCCGTCCGTCCTGAATCTCCTTCGCGGAATGTTGACCCAACGTTTCGAAAATACATACTTAGTCAAAAATACATGCTAGATGCGTTCCTTTATGCTACGAATAAAAAAAAATCTTAACCTTTTAACAGTCTAACCTTAAAGACATTTCTCCGATTCCATAATCTTTATCTGTTTCTCTTTATAAACTTTTATATCATTCTTTTTTTTTATAATATATACTAAGGAATAATTTTGTCATTCTCATACTCTATTTGTCAATACATAATATAATAACGAAATTGATCAATTGATTCGTGTTCCTTTCTATTTATTTCATGTACAAAAGATGTTGAAGAATGCAGTGAAAGGCAATATCCTCTAACGAAATTCTCAAGACTCTTCAAGGTTTCCACTTTCTCGGTGTTTCGAAAGTCCGGAATCAAGCCGTTCTCAATCAAACGTCAACGATTAACGCACAGTACGGTAGACAACGATACTTACGAGCTCGAGATCGAGAGGAACCAACCGAGCCGTTTTAAAAATCTCTTCGTGGACTCGCAGATCTCCAGATCGTAAGAATCAGCATAAATGTGGGTTAACCCGATGACAACGGCCCCTCCAATTGACGAGTGTAATAAATATAACTACATGCACTTACTATCACCACCAAGCTACAATTGCTGTAACGATAGTAAAGATTGAGAATGAGCAAGAATGACGTTCTGGTGCAGCGAGGTTGAACTGCACTTGCACCAAATTCCATCTTCTCATCCATTGGTGTCTATTGGTCAACTGTCCAACCAATCGCTGGAGACGTAGCAAAATTTAAGGGTAAATTAAGAAACTAGGCCAGTGAACTAGGCTTAAAACATATGTGTGATGTGCGTGATATGCTATTTTTAGCTAGTGTTTACATTGTTTACAAAATCGCTAAATTAGCGTAATTATTTATTTATTTATAAGTAAATGTATGTCACGTTTATGAAACGTGCGCTTTTTTGTAACGGAGTACCTATTACAACGAAATACAAAAATACGCTCTTCATATCGTGATTTGCATGCGAACTAACTAGTTTATGTCGTTTATCTCCTCAAAAATGATCTCGAATGTGTTGAGCGTGATCATAGGAGCTTCCAGTTTTGTGTATACTTGCTACATCTTGTGCAGACTTACGTATTTCTTATCAAATCACGACGATAACGAAAATTTACACATAGCGTCAGGTATGTTTTCATCAAATGACGCAAAACTTTGGGCGATTTTCTGTTAATATTATATATATTATTGTTATACAAACTAAGTACAAAAAAGAAATAGATATATAGAAATATTTCTAATTGTTCTTATATTTTTCTATATATGTATATTTCTAGAATAAATAAATCTTTCTGTTATAATAGTTTTTATAAGATTAAACTTGTATATAAGCAACTCGATTGTTTTCAGATGAAAATACAACCGACTCTACCTTATGGTCTCTTCTGATAGATATGTTACTTATTACAATCTTCGTTTTTCAACATTCTATCATGGCCAATGAATTCACCAAGAATACCTTCTGTAGACTACGTGTCGAACATCTTAGCAGGAGTATCTATAATGCCTGCAGCTCGGCAAGTCTTCATTTCCTGATTAATAAATGGCAGCAGACTCCAGCTGCAACAGTCTGGAAGTTTGACACTTCCAACCAGGCAATCTGGATGATATTTTCCAGCCTCCATGTATTCGCTTGGAGTATTATTTACAGTGGATGCATTATGATGGATATTGCTGAGCTTTGTGGGCTTAAGCAGATATGGTACAGAGTGTCTAAAAGAAATAGCCCATTAGATACAAAATCTAAAGAGTTGCGCAGATATATGAAACACTTGAGACATCCTAGTTTTACTGGATTTCTTGTTATTTTATGGGTCTATCCTATTATGAGGTAAAATTTATGAAAGCAAGTTCAATTTTTTTTTTATCTTGTGATAAGTTCTTTTTTTAAACCAAGTAATATCAATTTATTCTATTATTAATTCATACTGAATGATTTTGAGTGGCTTCACAAATATATTTTGTACAATGTCTATAAATTTAAAGAACGTTTACTATTATATGCAAATTCTAAATCGTATAAATCAATTTTCGAAAACAAAATAAATTTTAAATGATTTTGAATATGATTTCTTTTTAGTGCGGATCGAGTATTATTGAGCACCATATTGACGATATATATGGCGTTATTATGGACAATAGATTCCGAAGACTATAATTATCACGTCAGATATTTTAGACAGAAGCAAATAGAATTGTCTTAATTGTATTTATCATTTTTCTTCATCTTTTATGTTTTCAACAATTCTCTCCTGATTCTCATTAATTTTGTATTACTTAACAAATTAACATAAATTAATAAATATTAGATACATTATATATACATATTTATGTAATTGTAGTTTATATATCATATTTGAAATACATATTTATTATATTTATAATCTTAAATTAATTATTGTATATATATATACCTATATATATATATATATATATATATATATATGTATATATATAAACTTTATTTTCAATTATAAATGCTAATAATACGCTTTATCTACTTTCTATTTATTGTCACATTTCCATGTGTCTTATTTTAAAGGACAGTCGAAGACATCTTGAAATCTGAACCCAAAATCAAAAATATTCTAGAAAAAAATATAGGTCTGGAAGTGAAAAAATAATAATGGTAAAGTTGGGCAATTTTTGAAAAAGGTAATAAAGTAATAAAAATTATTATCATACTGTTTTTTAAAAAAGAATTACATAATTTTTCTACAATTTTAATATGATTCCTTTAGTTATTTCGTATATATAAGTATTAAGTAAAGTTATAAAAAATTAGTACATTTTCCAATTAGTACATTTTATTTTACACTATGTTAGAATAAAATATAAAATATTTTATAAACTATTGGTTTTTTAATAACTAATATTTTTATGTATAATAATTAAAAAAATAATTTTATTGTAGTTTTATCATTATTAATTTAACATTGAATAACGTTTATTTAACAAAGGTCGAAACGTTTTTGTTATGATTGTGTTATTAACTTGATCATTTTAATAATTGTTACATCATATACTTAAACTTGACTCATAGCTTCTCATTTTTGACTGAATTTTATTTTGCTCAACCGTATTTGATTGTTTTTTTATTGTTTTAAAAAACTTATGTAAAAAACCGATTTTATCTTAAAAAATGATGACTTTTATGTGACTGAAAAATTGATTTTATTGAAAATTAATTTTAACATTATTTGTTGCTTTGCAGATTATACAACTTTTAATTGTTTAAAACATTTTTGCCTACTTTTTAAGATATTCGACTAGACTGTTTGAAATGAAATACACTACATAATATAATTTATTAATATTCTAATATTTTTTGAAACTTTTAGATAGATTGCAATCTTCTTGATTATGTTCTCCTGATATTTCTCAATCTTTCAAAGTTTTCAAATTTTGCGATTTGTAATTCTGAATTCTTGGAATCATTCTTTGAAACTTGTTTATGTTGAAATATTCAAATTAAAAATTTTAGAAATTGCGGTTGGAAATATTAGAAATTTCTCGTTTTATCCTATCTAAAAAAGTGCATGTTAAATCGATGGTTGAATTCATCGAAATCTCTAAAGTCTCGAAGTTTATTGTTGGCTCTTTTCCGCGACGCTGATTGGTTGTCTCGTTGCGCTAACTTCGTGAGCGGCTGTCATTGCATTGACTTTTGACCGTTGTATGTATTGAGATTGATGTATAATTATAGTCAAAAATATTATAATAAAAAGTAAAAGTGCAGTTAAATAGCGCGCGCGAAGCGCGCGTCTGTAGTGGTAGTATATATATATATATATATATATATATATATATATAATATACAGTTACCAAACTAATTGTCCGGACAATGCGTTAATATATCGATAATTTCTAAAAATTCAAGATAGAGCAACTTTGTCAAAAATTATCGTAACATAATGATCAAAAAAGCATTTTACAGTTTAAAGTTTCTACTTTCGAAATCCATAATTCATTAAATGACTTACTGATTCTTTACAAAGCTGCACTGATGCAAATGGAGATGCATCAAATCTAAAATTTTTGTACTAAATTTGCGAAGTTCCTTGGAGTGAAATAAAAATCGCATACAAATGCGACTTACAGCATTTGAAAGCGTTAATTTTTATCTTTAATTTGCGCACTTGATCAGCATTGTGCGATTTTTTTTCACTGATCAGTTATTCAATGTTGAAGCATAAGAAGATTTTTACTTCAATGTTGA